TAGAATAGAATAGAATAGAATAGAATAGAATAGAATAGAATAGAATAGAGAAGAGAATGGGAATAGAGTAGAGTAGAGTAGAGTAGAGTAGAATAGAATAGAATAGAATAGAATAGAATAGAATAGAATAGAATAGAATAGAAGAATAATAGAATAATTTAATTGGAATCGAAGTGGCTGCTTCAACTTCTAATTCAGTTTTTATTTTCGATGAGAATGCCAGTGCGGGCAGCTGAAGATTCTGCCTTCCTAGTTCTCTTATGCTTTTTAATTGATTGCTGCCTAATTTTAAATTTAGGTGCTTTGTTAAGTCTGAGTCATAAGTTCCTCCTGCTCAATTTGTGGCCTTTTTATGTCCAGCAAAATACCCGAAGGACAAACTTGGGCTGGAATTAGAGGAAAGTGCGGCTTTTTCCTCTTCAGAGATAAATATCAAGATTTGGGGTTATGTTTAATGCGTTTAATTCCTCCTTTTAATAGAGGAGGAAAAAAATTACTCAACGGCTACTCCGGGTCAGCCACCTAATAAACCCTGATCTTTGTAATCGCATTGGAAATATTGCCATAAAGTACTGGGCTATAAAATGCGATAGGGTGATAAAAGCAACTGAGATTTTTCAAAAACAGAGTCCTTTAGAGATAGTCCTCAATTTACGACCACAGTTGGGACTAGAGTTTCTGTGGCTAAGCAAGGCGGTTGTTAACAAAGTCGCACCCAATTTTATGACTAGGTACTTTTCCAGTATCTAATAACTTACTACTTAGTAGCTTTAACTTACTACTAAATTGCTCTTGAATTTAGAATTCACCATCGGAGAAACCACGGTGCGTTGTTGTCCATACACCTGGAATAGGGTGTGATAGCGACAAAGGTGTTGAACTCAGCGTGAGGTCTGAAGGACTTCTACTTGGCCTCTGAAACTCCTTGGGGGGACACCAGGCCAGCTTCTCCTTCTCAACCAAGACCATCAGTGAGAAGATGGTGGACCAAGAGTTCAGGTCACCCCTTATTGATGGAAACTCTACCTGGGCTTTGGCTGAACCCACCTCAGAAGGATCTTGTGTGGAAATCAACCCACAGACTTACAATTTGACATTCTCCATGACCAACTAGCTCTACCATGAACAGAAGACCAACAGCCCCATTCAGAGCAACGCCAATGAAAAGTTCAGAGAAGTTCACCCAGCTTCTGGAGACCACAGGACCCTCAATGGACACATGGAGCTGCTCCTACATGGGTTTAAGCCTCACCTTCATGGCCGAAGGATCCTGACAGGCAGGCGAGGATAAGAAGGAGGGAAGGAAGGAGGACCATCTTGGTGGACAATGGAGGAACTGGCTGGTCACAGGAACTCTTGTTCTGATGTCCGTGTCCTCCTCTCAGCTTCTCAAATGATGACACCTCTCTGATGTTCCTCTTGAACTTAGAACAAAGGGCAGGCTGAACTGTTCCTTTTATTTTTTCCCAGTGTCCCCATGAATGAAATGATAACATTTAATCAGGACTAAGTCAACCATCCTAATTGCCCATGAATCTGATGGATTGATCTACAGATAAATAAACAAACACCTCAAGTCAGGTCAACTTTATGACGTTGCTTTGATATTTCTTTTAAACCTTAAACAAAGACAGTTATTATCCGTAGTCGCCATTCTGGATCCCTGCCCGGGATATTCTTATCTTCCCCATGGTTTTGTCCAGGTCAAAATGTCATCCTTCCCTTAACAGGCCCAAGTCAGATGTGTGGGTTCCACATCTCCACTCGGAAGGCTTGATGATGGCTCCACCAGCTGAGGAATTCTGGGCCATGATCTCCAGAAAGTGCCTTCAGCATCCATATCTATATCTATATCATCTATATATCTATATCTATATCTATATCTATATCTATATCTATATCTATATCTATGTATGTCTATGACTGTGTCTATGTCTGTCTGTCTGTCTGTCTGTCTGTCTATCTATCTATCTATCTATCTATCTATCTATCTATCTATCTATCTATCTCATCCTCTTATCTATCTATCTATCTATCTATCTATCTATCTATCTATCTATCTATCTATCTATCTATCTATCTATCTATCTATCTATATCCGCTCATCCTCTCATCCATCTATCTATCTATCTATCTATCTGTCTGTCTGTCTGTCTGTCTGTCTGTCTGTCTGTCTGTCTGTCTGTCTATCTATCTATCTCATCATCTATCTATCTATCTATCTATCTCGATGTCTGTCCGTATGTATGTGTGTATGTATGTATATATGTATGTATGTTTATAATCTTGTTGGGATGCATTATTAGCTGTCCAGGGCCTCATGCAGCCTTGCAGGCTAAAGATTGGACACACCTGTTCTAAAGTCATCTTCAAGGGCAGCCCCTGGAAACGCCTGTTGCAGTAGTCTAAGCATAGGGTGAATTTGCTGGATGTGTGCTTGTTCTGGTCAGTCCCCGTGTAACAAAGAGAAAAGTTGCAACCCCCTGAAGGAAAGCCCCAGATTCTTTCCAGCTATTTAAACAAGAAAAAGACACAATTAGAGCGTACGGTGAATAAACAGCTTATTTTATTGCCAGGGGATTAGAACGCCCACTTACAATTTTGATCTCATTTACCTATCAATCACGATCTATTTGCAATACGTTTGCAGAACTACAGATTTCTCCCCCCACCCTCCAAGAACTTTTTCCTTTTCTTTCATTTTTTTTTTTTTTAACATTTGGAAAAAGCTTTCATGTTTTGGAAGCGGAGAAAAACTACGGCATCGTTTTCGTAACAACCACGTAATCCTGAACGGTGTAACTAAGCGATCTCCAGTCGATCAGATAGTTAGGGACGGAATACTCTTTCATGACAAACTCGACTTCATCGGTGGTCAGCACCCGGGACCACATGTTGACCGCTGTCATCTCGCCCACAAAGCACTGTTTGACGTCAAAGCCCCCTCCAAAGTTATCCTGCTCCTGCCCCAGAATAATGGACGCCTCGGGGCTGATCCTGTAACCCCTTTTCATTCCCACACGGGGGAGAAGGTTTCCGTTGAGCCAAAAATGGACCAGCCCATCCCAGCTGTTCCAGGAGACGCAGACGTGCTCCCAAGCTGGAATCGGCCTTAGGGGAACCGTGAAATTCAGCACTGATCCACCCAGATGAACGGAATACTTGTTCCGATCTGGCTTGAAAATCAGGAATTCGTTGTCCTTCAAGCGGGTGGCGTAAGAGAAGAGAGCAAAGGAAAAAACTAGCGGCGTGTGGTATTTCAGGCAGACGGTGAGGTCGGTCAAGGGA